AAATATCCAGATGTCTAGGTCACTGTGCCTCAGTGGACACAAGGGCATGATGACAGTAGGGGATATACCAAGAAAAAAGGAAAAGAGCTGGAATGTGAAGCGGCCACACAGGGAAGGGAGGACAGGAAAGACAAAGGACTGGAGAGCTACTCCAGCCAAATCTAGGCCCATGATTTTAAAACGGTCACGAGATGGCTATTAGAGCATTGGGTGGTGTGCCTGCTGGGTGTCAAGAAGGAAGGAGCCCTGGGGGGTGGGGTAGACTGGTGCAGCAATGAGGAGGGAAAACAGAATCAAATAGGAGAGTTTCAGCCCCTCATTCCCACCTAGCCTCACTTTTCAGCCTTATTTATTATTGTACATATTAGTGTTTTGTGGATAGATTTTTGACTTGAAAATCTGAAGCACCAATGTAGGCTAATCACACCAGATGTGGGAGAAGCGGAAAGTGCATGAAGAAAGGGCTGTCCCAACATTACTCCTTAGATGTAGGAGGTTAGGGGACAGGACAGGAACAACTGGCTCCTAGCTCTCAGCCAACCCCTCTCCCGACTGGGACCCTCCCTCTTTCCACATGATCCTCATACGTAAAATTGCCACCCAATCCGCCCCAGTGTTCAGCTCCCCCTGCTGCTTATTTAAAACATCAGCTACTCTTCCTGACTGCTCTGATTCTGCCAGTTTGTACTCCTATTATTTCAGTGTCCAATGTGTTTCCTAATCTACCTCTTAGATTTATATTTCGAGGCAATACACCAGAGTGATTAAAAAGTATCAGCTTTTTACCCTTAACTATCTACTTCTCTAATTCTCCTGTCTCAGCTAAATAACAAGGAGAATAACAGTTCCTATTTCATAAGGTTAAAATTTAAGTCACATAATGTATACAGCAGGTATAGCACAGTTCTAGCACATAGTAAGAGCTTAATATATTGTTGATATTTTTACTGTAACATTTCATTCCAACAGCCACTATTCCATACCTGGATTACTGCCCAGCTGTGAGGCTGACTTCCCTATTTCCCTTCAGCTAACTGATCTGGACATTTTCATCCATTCCCTACTCTAATTTAGTTTTCTCACCCTTCTTTAAACTTCTAATGGGTCATCCTACTCTTCTAAAAGGTGGTGCTAACTGTGCGTAGTGGCTGTTAATCCTTGCAACCATTGCTGACTATCTGACATACTCCCATCAATGTCTGTACTAAGCTACATTTCCCTTGTAGCACCTCAAATCTACTAGGGAAGAAATTCCCAATAATCTCAAACTTGCATCTTACTTCGTTTTTAAGTTTTTTGCAGTAATTTTATCCTACCTACCCGGGAATGGACCCATTGCCATAGAGATTCTCCTTTACAAGGCCTCATTTTCCCGCCCCCGCCCCTAGCCTCATCCCCACCTTGCAGGACTATAAGGAGGGATAAACAAACTTCCCTCAGCCTAAAATGGACTATTTTCTATCTTCCCAGTCTTCATCTTGCATTCCAAAATGTTTCTCCATAATTTGTTGCCTATGTCCAGCTTGAAAATTTCTTCTCCGTGTAAACAGCAGCCAAAACCCAGAGCAACCCCACATCTGATTCCTTGACCTCACCTTTCCTCACCCTACTCAACAGAGAAAACTGTATCTCCACCAATCCTTCATGTACTTGACCTTTAATTACACCCTGAGGACCATTATCTCAGCCCTACCCTTGAGAAATTAAATCTGACACCTTGCGTCCTAGCCTCAGCCTTCATAAACAATTAGTCATATTCCCCACACCTATAAGTCCACATTTTGCCTAAACCTTGATCTCGAAACACTTAATTGCTTGCATCTTGCATAGTCCACAGAACCTCCTGGAACACTTAACTATTTTAAGCCTTACCACCTCTTAACACAGTCTTTAGGGTCCCCTCAACTCTCTGATATATCCACTCTCTTTCCAGAAAATCATTCTTCCCATTTCTCATTCTGTGTCATGCAAATTTTGGGAGAAATGTGCAGCATAGTACAGATTACACCTTCTAAATTCTAGTGCTAGCTTTGGCTAGTGGCCATTAATCTGTACATCCATTGATGGCTATTGGACATGCTCCCATCAATGTCTGTACTAGGCTTTCTACCATCTTTCTCAAGTTTTCAGACCAACACAATTCTCCACTGCAAAAAGCAACCCCAGCACTCAACAACCAGAGCTACCTTACAATGCATTCCCGTCCGATCTCTCCTTCCCTACCTTTTAAAATATCTCTGTCTCCACATTCATTCACTCTTCCTGTCTCCTGGGTCAAAGGAATGGTGTTTCATCCATGCTCTTATTTATTATCTTTGTACATACTTCTAATTAGCCACCCTCCACTACATATCTTGAGTTTCTTCTTCTTCCCTTTGGTCTTAAGACAGTCTATTCTAGAACTTGCTGAAGCCTCAGTTTCTTCCATTCCCTTCCTTTGATTATCACAACCAAAAAAAAAAAAACAAAAAAACAAAAAACCTGTTACCCTATCCGTCCCCATGATCCTAATCATGTTTTGATTCCATTCCTGCTCCTCTTTGATGAAACTGCATTTTCAGTCTATAATAAAGACACCTCATTTGGAAACACAATGGCTTTTTCTCAGGATTTAGTTTCTTCAAACTTGCATGGCAAATAATAAAACACACAATTACTTATCTTTATTAGAACCTTCACTTTGTTTCTTTTCCATGACTGGACTCAGCAGTCTTCTCCATTAATTAGTATCATTGGTATCATGATCTTAGGAAAATTACTTAAATCCTCTGAGCCTCAACTTACTCACTAGTAAAATTAGGATAATAAAAATTCCCTTCTTAATGAGTCGTTATGAAGATCATATTCCAATATTATTAGCTACCATATATCGAGATCTAATTATGAGCTTGGCACCCTGACATGCAAACACACATACGCACATGGCACAAACACACACATCCATAAGAGATTACATATACAGTTGACCCTTGAACAGCATGGGTTTGAACTGCACAGTTATTCTTATATGCAGCTTTTTTCCACCTCTGCCACCCTGAGACAGCAAGATTAACCTTTCCTCTTCCTCCTCAATCTACTCAATGTGAAGACAATGAGGATGAAATCTTTATGATGATCCACTTCTACTTAATGAATCATAAATATATTTCTCTTCCATATGTTTTTCTTAATATAGTCTTCTCTAGCTTACTTTGTTGTAAGAATACAGTATATAATACATATAACATACAAAGTATGTGTTAATTTCCTGCTTATGTTAACCATTAGCTTCTGGTCAACAGTAGCCTATTAGTAGTTAAGCTTTGGAGAAATCAAAAGTTATATGCAAATTTTTCAACTGTATGGGGGTTAGGTGCCCCTAAACTCCACTTTGCCCAAGGGTCCACTATATAGCCGTATGTGTGTGGAAAATCTCATTTAGCATTCAAAACTCCCTGTGAGGTAAATATTGTTTCTGTTGTAAAGATGAGAAAATTAAGGTATCAGATGTTAACCTATATACTTGAAGGTACACAGTCAGTTTTTAGAAGAAAAATTCCAAATGAAATTCATTGGACTCAATGACCATGTCCTTAACCACTAGATTATACTGCCTTCCAAACAGATGTAAGAGTCCAGATTTTAGGGGGTCATGCAATATCAGTTATTATTTGCCTAATATTTTTTGTAGATGTGTGTTTCAGAATGTACTAAAATAAATCTGCCAAGCAATAAAATGATGGAATAGATCCACTTCCTTCCCCTAGGTCTTTATTTAATACATATATCCTTAAGCTCAATAGACAAACAGCCATTTGGACAATTGTGCTTGGACAAACAGCCATTTGGACAATTGTAAATTGTACAATTTACAATCTAATGTCTGCTATCCATAGCATTAGCTCTTGGCTTATCAATAATAACAATCACCGTAACATAATTAAATGCACAGTGCTTTAAAACAGACTTTCATGTAAATGACCCCAATTATGTGAACTCTCTCATGGCTAAGAATAGGCCCCAGTGGACAGGCAATGAAACTCAGGCTCTGGGGTGGTCTCTGTGCTGTTTGCCAACTATGCCAGTTCTCCCTCTCTGACCTGCAGGGACAAGGTAAGATTGATTGCACTCACTCTGTACAGAGTCTCTATGGTTGGGTGAGGCCATGTGATGGCCACATGAACACGAGGGGAAGTAATCACTTCAGGGCTGGAACATTGCTGAAAACAGAAATCCTTGAGAATGCATTGGCGTTTCACCTGGGCAGCAATATTCCAAATGGTGACTGTCTGCCGATCATCCAGAATGAAGGCACCATCAGCTGACCACCGTACATGTGTAGCCTGAGTAAGAAGCAAACAAAATTATTTTGTTTTAAGTCACAGAAATCTTGTGGTTATATGTTGCCACAACATAACCAAGTCTTCCTAATTGACACAGTCTTACAGCAGATAAATTACTTATCCAAGACCATATAGGCAGAAAATGTCAAAAGTAATATGTCAACACTCTTCCCCATACCGTGTAAATGCTAAGGTCACTGTTCCTTCCATTAGATCCCAGTGTGTTTCATAGGTTCATTGCCGCAAAAATAAAACAGTATTTTTCCAGGAGCAAGATCTAAACTTAGGTACAATCTGTCTAATCTGAGTTTAATAACTGAGTTTAATGATTTCCATTTTGGTAAAATAAAGGAAGTTTGAAATTTTCACTCATTTTATAACTAGGCCAAGTGATCCCGACTTAATCTCTTCTACTGTTTGAAGTTTAGAATGCTAAACAATCCTCACCTATAGCTCAGACAGAAAAATCCTTCTCACCTCAAATAATCAATGTGTTGGTCAGATAGGAAGGAGCAATTAAGTAATCAGTACTGCAACACCACCCAGGGTGTGACACTGTGCTTTGAGATCCTCTCAGAGCCAACACTGACCCTGGATGACCTCACAGGAGGGAAGGTGGAGAAACCTAGCCTTGCCATATAAACATGACCCCTTCCTAGGCCATGGCTGACGCAGCTGTGGGGACAATCTCAGAGCAGCCTCTGCATCACGGCCATGTCCACCATGAAGATCATTGTGGGGCTCCTTCTACTCTGTACAGTGACCCATTTCTGCAGCAGCTCAGGTGAGTTAAGAATAGATAAGTGCCCCATACAGTTAAGCTTATTTTCCCAGATAATCCCTCCTGGGATGTGAGCATCTGAGAGAAATGTTTAGTCATGTGAATTTAAACTGTGCTGGTTTGTAATAGAAACAGCCCTGGCCTTGGAAAAGAGAATCTTATGTTTCACCTGGAGTTTGAGGGATTTATGTCTAATGTTTTCCCTTTCAGGGATTCCTATTTGCATCCATGGAACAACAACAAAAAACAATCTAATTTCTCCATAAGTCTTCCATTTCATAAGGACACTGCAAGTTATTAGTGTTATTAGATACTATTCCTCAGTGCAAAGATGCAGAAAAACTTGGATGTCTCCCCAAATCAATCCAGGAGAAACAAAACAGAACACAATTCTTCAAAGGCAGGGAGTCAATAATTAGGCTTTTCTGTGGTGAAAAATTACATACTTAAAATTAATTTCTAACACCTTAGAGACATTCCCATTGCATTCCTTTATATCAATTACAAGGGAAAAGATAGCAAGGATGATGTTTCAGGCTTATAGGATTGGTAATTGCAATACTTCTTATTGCTACCTGACTTTTAGCCATTACCAAAGACACTATGAGCTCCAGAAAATGTCCCTTGGTCAATAAAAAGAGAAAAGTTGGATAATTTTCTTGCCTGAAACAAGGACTTACCTAACTCATTGGCCATTCAACTTCCTCAGCAAACAGCTGGGATTTTGCATAAGGGTGGGTAGTGTGCTGAGCCTCATTGCCAGAAGAAACATGGAGTCTTTAATTATAGGATAAAACTTACATTACTTAATGAGATTTCATTAATTTTCATTTGCTTTATTTTTAACACTTCCATCTGTATTTCTCTTTCAGAAGCTGCCAATCTGCCTTTAACAACAGTGAGTATGTTGAATAACATTTTGATTTCAATTCCCATACATTGTCATTTAGTCAAATCCTACAAATACTTATATGTAGGATTAAATCAATATGTTTAAAGGGATCAGAGATGGACACAAACACAGATGGAGTGGCTTCTGCTTTCCAGAAGGCAGTTGAAAAAATATGACAGAAATATAAATAACCATGTCCTAATTAAAAAAAAAAAAGAAAATATCCAGAATTAAAGGAGAAAGAGCTGACTTCTAGCTGAGAGGTTGGTGATATTTTCATGGAAGGGACAACATGTAAGAGTCAAGCAGAGGTAACTTGATTAATTGTACAGCCTCTGGATTCAAAATGAGTTGGGACTCTACCAATTACCAGCATTTACCTTATGTAAGTTATCTCTCTTTCCAAGCTTTAATTTCCCCATCTGTAAATAGAGGTAATAGTAGAACCAACCCTATTCAGTTGTTCTGAAGATTAAACAAAGAAAATTCACATAAGATTTAAGTTTAATACCTGGCACAGCAACGCTCAACAATTTTGACTGAGTATAGTAGTAAAAGTAGAAGTGGTGCCAGGAGTACTAATATTATTCATAATGGTAACATTAGCACTTACAGAAGTAGCCATAGCAGCATCAGAATATCAGAACTGGAACTGCGTGCTCTTGTTTCCTGCCCAATGGAGGCCAGAGAAGCCTAGCTTGGGGTTGGGAGGAAAAACAGGACATTCTCTTGTGTCTGACACAGGTGGACTGCAGCATTTACAAGAAGTACCCAGTGGCGGCCATCCCCTGCCCCATCACATACCTGCCAGTTTGTGGTTCTGACTATATCACCTATGGGAATGAATGTCTCTTGTGTTCTGAGAGCTTGTGAGTACCTCATGGGAAGAAAAAGATATATGGGGCCAGTGTTCTCTGCTATAAACCCTTCCTCTTTCTAGGATCCTGCTTAAATCTCCATAAGTTATACTTATTCTCACCCAGTAAGGATAAAATCCTGATTGTCGGTACAGTCAGACCAGGGCCGGGCCACCTGCTGTGCCAGCTTGGACTGGTCCCAGCCCATTACAGAATCTCCAATTCCTGTCTATCAATTGTGGGAATCCAACAAGACCATGAGTTCTCAAACTGCAATCTCCAGAGCCCAGTGGTTTTGTAGAAGAAAATCAGGAGCCACCAGGAGAGTTAAAGGGATCATTTGAGGTGGTCTCCAACCCCAAGTTCAGCGTTCAACTGTTTAAATAGTGGAGTTCCACATAATATCTTGTTTGAAGAAAGGGTCCTGAACTCCACACCAAAAAAAAAAAATTGAAAATCACTAATCTTCATGACTTCTAAGCTATTTAGCAGCCTTAATACAGCTTGATTCTCAGACTGTCGCTAGAGGTTCTTTACCTTCAATTTTCTAGAGACTTGAAGTATCTGTAGCTGTAAGGGGGAATAAAGCTACCAAAATGATTGTTTTTCTTTTATCTACAATAAGGGATGCGAGCTGTTAGTACTTGGACTAGAATCCCATGGACATGTTTTGTTTAGGTATTTTTTTTCTGGCCCACACAGTGTTTTTTAAGAACCGTAATTTGTCAGATGTCACACGCTCGCTACCTCACACGGAGTCCACCATGATCATTGTTAACTCTGTTTTAGGCCACTGGATTTTGGTCACTTACCTTAGATCTCATGTTTTTCATCTTTGTGATTATCTTAAAAAGTTAGAATATTGAGTTGGGCCCTGAGCCCAGAAGGACATGTCTATATACTTATTCCTAATTCAGAAAGTTTTACTTCACAAAAGGAAAAGACTCTCTAACACAGACGCACATTGGGCCCTTGTCCAGGAAACTAGCTGTGTTCCAGGGACACTGAAAGTTCTCGTCACTAATGCAGGACCCAGTTTCATCATAGGCCTTGCTGACCAGGAAAAGCTGAGGGACAGGCCCCTCAACTTCTTTTGTCAGAGTGCTCTGTCTTTGTTGTTTCAAGACATTGGGTGATCAGTCAGGCTCTGGGATTAGAGGATTAGCCGATGGAGTGGAATTATCACCAGACTAAGGAAACTCTGTTTCTGCCTCTGTCAGAAGCTGCAAGGATATTCCTTTTCTGGACTCAATTTCTCTTCATTTGTAAAATAAGGTTCTGTTTCATAATCTCTACAAGTCCTTTCAGCTCGAATATTATATGCAATTTCTTCTAGTGTTAATGAATCTTAACTATGTCTTCCCTTAGGAAAAGTCATGGAAGAGTTCAGTTTCTTCATGAAGGAAATTGCTAAATTCTCCATGGACATGGGTAGAGAGCAATGATATTCTCATCATCATCTTCATCACTGCCAGGCTCTGACTGACATTCCTTCATCTTCGCTGATGTTCTGGGTGGGAGCAGAGTCAGATTCAGAGTCACCTTTATTAAATGAAGAAAGTTGGTGTGCTCCTCCTACATAGTCATGCCTCCCGGACAGACTGGCTTCTTTTTATATCTCAATAAAAGAATCTCCCCAGAAAGTTTACTTTTACCAGGATATAATATCTCAATTATAAAAGAAAATTGAGGAACATACTAAGCGTGTTGTTCAGGAGAAACTTTTATACAAAGAATCCCAGCTTCTGAGAAACACATGCACACATGCCCCCGCCATACACACACACACACACACACACACACACACACAAACACACACACACACAATACATATACATACACACACACAAATACCAGCGAACACCTTTTTCTCTTGTGAAGTCTTTCTCCACTGGGAACTAGTCTACGAACCATACTGTTTCTCTATCTTGGTCTCTTGACCAAAGATCCTTAAAAGGGAACCTCTCTGATTCCAATAAGTCATTTATAGAAGGAAAGTTTTCCTACCAATTTCTTTCCAGAAAGATACCATGCCTTCTCACAGGTCAGCTCTACTAGAGCACTGATGGAAAAGTCACTGTTCCATGAGGAAGTATGTCCTTTGCTGTAGAGGTCTGATTGTTGGGACATTATACTTACCTAGAGTTGAAATCTACATTCATGAGGCTGTCAACCATCAGAGCCAGCGAGACCATATTATAAGGAAGTTCATTCTTTTTTCCAATTAACAGACTTTCCAATATTTGAAGATAAATATTCTGTCTCCATTAAAATTTATTTTCTCCAGGATAAAAACCTCTGGGTAACACTTTCTTCTGTCTTATCTCCCTTATATATTTCTATCCTGGACCACGTTGCCTGGATCTATTACAATTGGGGATTGGCCATCTTAAAGCACGTCAGTATGTTGTCCAAAAATGGACTAATCACCCCAAATTTTGTCTGACAGATGCAAAGAAATCAAAACTATCACTCCTATACTAATTATTTCCTTCTATTAATGCAGCCTGATGCACCAAGGACCATAATTATTCTGTAGAAACATCAACAGAATGAAACCTGATGTGTTTGCAAATAACAGGCTTGCTGCATAAGAATGATGAGAAACCAATTAAAGATGCCAGGACCCCACCCCACAAATTATAATTCAATAGAACTGAGAAAAGCCCTAAACAATCTAAATTTTTAATTGGTATACGTTCAGAATTAAAAAATTCAGAAGTAGACATTCCTCCTAGCTCAATACAAGAGGTTCCCTGTGGAAAGCAAAATCACTACTGCATGAGATTAATAAGAAACATCTCTTTGAGAAGATGAAATTTGATCTGGGCCCAACATGGCAGAACTGTGGTTATTCATCAGAGTCATTCTTGTCGAATGGAAACTAATCCAAACTCCACTTCTCTTGCTAATTGGCCCATAACAACCACCCCTCCCCCACAAACAGGCTCTGTGCAGATACATATAAATAGGGCCTTTGGTAGGAGAGTTTAGCCAGAATGATCACTCAACACAGTGCCCTACCCACAGTAAGGAAACAACCTTCTCCACAATGTGTCACACCTCGCTTGAGTCTCCTCACTCTGGCATTTTTGTTTTCCTCTGGTGAGTACATCTCGGGTCATCCATGAGCATTCCCTGTCTGTTATCCATGAAGTCTAGGAGCATTCTAAGGGGGAGAAAAGGTGAGTGTTAAATCATATCACAAAACTGTATGATGGGAAATGGAAAACAGTCCTTAATACTGACTGTAATTGTATAAAATCTCTTGTGTGCAAAGAATTATAAAGAGAAAATTTTGGTCTTTATCTTTTTCACTTTGTTTTCCTTTTTTTCTAGATCGTCTGAAATGTAAATTTTGTTTGATTCTGTATATTAATTATGTCAAATGTTGTAAAAGGTATTTTGAAGCTACTGCATCCATTTAACTTTTTAAATCATGTTTTCAAGCAGAATTTTATCATTTATGAAACATTTTCATGAGGATTTCCTAATTTTATTTTCTGACAAATGAGGGCAATGAAGCTAGAAAGTATAAATGGAGACCCAGGACTCAACCCCACATATTCTAATTCCACAGCCAATCTTCTTTTCACTATGCCACCCTGTTTCCAACACCAATATGTTGTCATTGATTTAAAATCTAGAGAAAATAAGCTATAATTAAAGTATTTTTATGTCTAATATATGACCTACATGAGCAAAAATCAGTTTTGAAAAAGAAACGAGAAGTTGAGATCCCTTCAAATCATTACTTACTTATAAAGAAAAGCATTAAATATGTTCCCTACTGAATGGATTAATATAAGAAATAGTTTTCAGTGCTCAATTTATATGAGCAAAAATAAAGATATTTCATATTATTTCCTCAAAATGATCTTACATTACTCAGAACCCCTAGTGATTTTTTATCTAACTTTCAAATAATCCACGAATACAATACATAAGACTTAGTGAACACTGATTTTACTCTAGAACTTGTGAAACATGATTTATGCTTATTATTTCATTTATTCCTCTCAAATAAACTATGAGAAATGTCCTGTTATCCATTGAGATTTGGCAAGGGTAAAGAATTTACAGAAAACCCAAAGTTAGCATTCCTATCTCAACCATCTGACTTCACATCCATGTGTTATTCACTACAGTCTGCAGCCTGTATATGAAAGTTCTCTTTCTGCTCACAGATAAATTGTGATAGATACAATGGCCATGACACAAGTAGACACTGACACTGTGCACCTATCTTCAGCCTTGTGCATGGTGCAGAAACCTATGGCAGTCCCTGCCGACTGTACATGAAGATCAGGTGAAGCTATCAATGCAACCGTGATACAGCGTACAGACAAAATATGGACCTCGACTTCAAGTTCCTCATTATCAGGGATGGAAGAGAGCCAATCGAAAGCCTCACTTTATGGATGGAAACACTGAGCTCCCAAACTAGGAAATGCCTCATAGCTTACGTGGAAGACTAAGACAAGAACCCAGGTCTGCTGACTCCCAACCAACCCAGGGCCCAAATACTATTTCCAGAATTTCATCCACCATATGTTATGACCCCTGGAAATAAAATCCTTCTACTTATTACCTATGTTATTACCTAGAACATAACATCTGTGAAACATTTTATAGCTTGTATAATAACTTTCATAGCCCCTGTCTTGGTAATCCTTGCACAGCATTATTAACCTTACTTTTCAGCTGAAGTAAAAGAAGCTCTCAAAGACCATGGACAAAATTGTAGAACTGTAAGTGGCAGATGAATCTACAAGCTCAGGATTTAACGAACAGTTGTTCTACACACTTGAAGCTAAGGACATATCTAGCTTCATTGGAGACCTAGGTAGTCTCAGTTCTTCAGTCTGTATTGCCTCCGAAGCAGATGCTAAGGTCTTGATAATATTTACCCTTTTCTTCCAACTTACAAAAACTCACTACCTAAAAAGAATATTCCCAATCTTTCTGAAACTGAAGTCTAGATTTAGTCTCTAATGAAGATAGTCCCAGAATCCTCTTAATATTTATGTTTAAAAATAGTTATTGTTTAAATGATGTTTAAAAATAGTTACTGCTCTTCAAATTTTAGAATCCACCTATAAGCAAATTGTAGAAGATATAATTATGGTATACAGAAAAGAACATGCATATTTTTAACACATGAAATGCAAAAGTAAAAATAGAGGTGATAAATCTCTAGAGAGGAAGGCTGATTGGGGGATGTGAATACAAGCAGATGAGATATTTATAGAGTTATGAGATAGTGTCTAAAAATTATGCTATAGAAATAGCAACTAAAATACATTACTTAAGGTTATAAAAGTAACAAGCAGAATTTTAAAAAAAGTAATGATATGCCTATCAAAAATTGAGAGGAAGAATGGAAAAGTAATGCAAATTAAAAATTTTTCTTCCATAGATGAGAGTCAATAAATAACTGATTTTAGTTAATAAAACAAGAAATAGAGGCACATTATATTACCATAATATGATGGTAACAACCTAAAAATAGAAATGGTTAAAATTAGTTCTCACTGAAGTGTGATAATGATGATAAAACATTTTTATTTTTTATAATAAACTGTTTAATGTCAATGGAATTATACATATTTCTTACTACGACATATATATTAACTTTCTTTTCTTCTTTTTTCCAAGGAAAAGTAAATCTTTGCCACATGGGAAGCTACTAATCACCATAAATATGGACATGAAGTGGATTTGTTTTTAAAATTTTACTTTTACAAATTTAGGCCTTGGAGAAGAAAGGATTTTATTCAGTTTTACTCATTTCTCTGTGTAACCATCAGCATTTGATTCGTTGCAGTCTTCATCATCCTCCTCATCGTCTTCATTAAAAATCTCCACCAAGCAGCTCAGGAGAGCACAATGGACCCTGACACAAAGGTTTCTGTGCTTACCCCAACTTGGATATTTACCAGGTGTGTAGACTTGGACAGGCCATTTAAGGTGTGCAAGTATCTCTTCTTTACTTTTAAAATAAAGAGAATAATAACTCCAAATCTGACCTGTGTATTTTAAGAGTCAATGAGATAATGCATCTAAACATGATTTGTATACTATGATATCCTATAGAAATGAAAGGGATAATTGTGATCTGCATGCCCATCCTTCTCCAATATTTACCAAGGCCTAAAAGCATATATTACATTCTCTGCAACATGCTTGGCATATTAAAGACATACGACCAGTAAAGTTTCAGGGTTTTTTTCCTTGCTTGAGAAATAGGAATATTTCTATTCCTATCGATGTTTGAAAGCAAAAACAATGTATAATTTGGAACACACAAAGATAACACACATTTGCTTATATAGTTTGTCCCATTTAAATGTGACTTATTTAACTTATAGTATGGGTAAGATTAGAATAAAAAAATGAGATATTTACATAATCTCAGAGTCACCTCCCAAAATATTTATTAATTAGGAAAGGAAAACTGGTAGCTTTATAATTGCGAAATCTGCCAGACACTACCTTACCCAAGTGATCAAAGTTAGCATCATCAATG